TGTCCTCCTGGGAGCCTGGCAGGCCGGCGGCGCCCCCTGCCGAGACTGCCTGGGTGTCGAGGGCAAGGGCAGACTCCCTGGAGAAGGGCCCCGGGGACGGGCAGGAAGGGAGGCATCCCTGGCAGAGGACCCAGGCAGCGAGGGCCGGGAATGTGGTGCCAGGACACGGAGTAGCTCTCCTGAGCACAAGGGCCCTGTGCTGGAGAGCTGCACGATTGTCTCTAGCTGACACAAGATGCACCCCTCAGGTCACCCAACGGACAGGAAGTTAGCCTCTGAGGTGGGTTTCTCCCTCCCCTGGGTGATGTTCCAGTGTGGCCCGCGTTGGACTGATTCCAGGACTTCTCACCAATCACCCACAGACTCCTGCCTCTTGTTCTTGGTTTGGTGAGGGCTTGCCTACCTGGCCTCCATCTGGCACCCGTGGCAGGCCCTCCGGGCTCCCCGAGGGCGGGGATCTTCCAGCCTGCTGTGAGAGGGGGCGGGGATCCTCCACCTGGGCTGTGAGAGGGGCCAGCTGAGCCCACCTGGACCCACAGCTGACCCAAGCGTCACCAGTCCCTGAGTTTAATAAAAGGAAGGAAGGAAGGAAAGCTATTATTTTGTCTTATTATAAAATTAATATAAAATTAGTAATAAATCTGAAACAACCCCAAAGTAGGCCAAGTAAGTGGGACAAGATGTCCAGGCAGGGGTGCATTGGATAAGCAGACCCTCAGTGAGCCAATGTGGTGCAGTGGGGGCTGGGGTGGGCAAGGGCCTGATGCCGGAGGGGAGGGGGCTCTCAAGCTGGGTTTGACCCGTTCTGAGGCCGGTTCTCGTGTGGAGGTTGAAGCAGGAAGAGGAAAACATGAAGTCCAGGAACAGAGAGCCAGCAGGCAGAAGGAGGGGACGGGTGGACATGGGGACGGGGGCTGAGAGGTAGGTGGGGGACCCTAAGATGGGCAGAGGGAAAGGGGCTGGGCAAGCCCCCGGCCGGGCAAGGAAGCGACACGCTGCCTGCCCTGCCCAGCTCAGCTGTCTGGCCAACCTGGAGGCAAGGCCTCCAGGGCGACTTCGAGCTCCAGCCCCCGAACCCGCTGCTCTTCTCCAAATGAGTGCCCCTCCCCGCCCAGCACCCAGCTGCGTGGGCTAAGCATGCTCCCCAGGGACACCCCAGTCACTCAGAGGCCCCCCAGTTGGCCCCCCTCCTGACAGCCCCCCAACCTTCCCACAGACTGACACAGGTGAGGGAAGCCGACTGCCAGGCCTTCGTCCGCCGCACCGCCCAGGGCAACACAGGGCTGCTGGCCTGCCTGGTAGGCACCGTGGGCCGGCCGGGCCAGGACAGGACAGGTGACGGGCAGTGGGACCAGGCTCATGCTGACCTGCTGTCCTGCAGGGAGGGCCCCGCCCGAGCCTCAGCACCTCCGACCTGCTGCTCCTCGGGGTCCTGGTGTGTGACACGGATGCGTCCAGCATCATGGCTACAGACCCCCATGTGCTGCAGAACCTGCGGCGTTGTCCCCAGCTGATGGCCGCCCTCAACAGGCTGCTGGCCAGCAGCAGGACCAGGCTCGGGTGAGTGGGGGCCCATGCCATCTGCCCAGGCTTACCCTCCTCCACCTGATAGAGGAGGCAGCCTGGGGATCAATGTCCACAGCCCCACTGACCTCTAACCTCTGACCCAGCTCCCACCCCACTCTGACCCTGCAGCCTGTGGGGTATGGGTTTGAGGTGCCCAGAGGTGGGAGAGTCTCTGCTGGGCAGGCCCTGGGAATGGCACTCAGGGAGGGTAGGCGGTCTGAGGGGTCTGGGTGCTGCTCAGGGCCCGACACAGAGCCCCCTTCGCACACCAGGCCCTCTGGCTCCTGGAACCTGGAGGGGCTGCAGGCTCTGGGACCCCTAGCCACCTACATCATCCCCAGCTTTTGGATGCAGGTGCAGGAGGTTGGGCAGCACCCCGGGGTGGGTGGGGATCCAGCCAACCTTCCACCAGCCTGCCCAGGCCTGATGGTCGGCCGGCAGCCACTCTGATGCCCAAGTGCTGTCCCCAGTCGCTCCCCATCACAGAGTTTCTGTCTGTGGGGAGGAAGGAGGGAATAGGTAGCCCTGGTGGCCCTCCCCAGGGTGTGGACTCTCCAGGCCCGCCCGCCAGGCCGTGGGCCTAGACTTCTTTGGCAGCATAGTGGCCATAGTAGCAGCATAGTGGCCACAGGCAGGGCAGCTCAGCCAGCGTGATGCCAGGTGCTTCGGCACTGGCTTCCTCGAGGCCAAGGCCAAGTTGGTACCCTCACGGCCCAAGCGGGACACAGGTCAGTGTGGCCACCATAGCCTGGGAATTTCACATCTCCCCCTGCTCGGGCTCCTCATCCCAGAGTGGGGGCACCAGAGGCATGGCACCCTCTGCCTGGACCTCCTGAGCTTGGCCCAGGGTCTCTGTCCAGGTTGAGGGGAGTGGTCAGAGTCTGGTGGGGCTGGACTGAGAGTTGAGACCAAGGTCAGGGTTGAGTCAGTCTGGTCCAGGCCAAGTTTTTGGCTAGGAGTCAAGCTTGGGAAGGGTCAAGGTTAGGAGTGAGGTGGGGCCCAAAGTCAGCAGCAGTGCTGACCAGCTGGGTCCTCAACACCCGCACTCCACCTTGCCACAGGGAGACCCTGCATCCCTGGCAACATCACTGCAGCCACGCTGCACGATGACCTCTTCCTGGTGCACTACGACTGCGTGCAGCTCAAGTCCTGCCTGGGCAGCTGTGTGCTCAGGGCCAACCTGGACCCCCTGCTGCAGCACCCACTGCCCTCCCAGTGCCAGAAAGTCGTCAAGGCCAAGCTGGCTTAGGTGCGCCAGTGACCGGCAGTGGGAGGCAGGTGGTGGGCCGGCTGTGTGGCCTGACCACACGTGGTCAGTGCCACGTCCATGTTTATGTTCTGCTGACTGAGAACCCGCAGGTCCTCCATGGGGGCCCCACCTGCCCACGGGGAGAGGGGCCCCCAAGTGTGAGACCTTGCAGCAACCCCCAGTCTCACCCTCTGACAACAGGCTACCAGAAGCCACTTCCTTTACCAAGAGTCCCTTTTCCTAAGAAATTCCTGGGCCCCTGGTTTGCCTGGTGACCACCTGACCCTCTGGGTTGGAAGATAGGCTGGGGGTGCCCAGAACTCACAGGGTCTCAGCCTACACACACTTGGAGGGATGGAGGGCACATTGACCACCAGTCACACCACCAGCGGGCTGCCCAATGAGAGGGGGAGCCTCAGGGATCACGCCCCCCATGTCCTCCCGGGCTCACCCAGGTAGGGCTTGATCCTTGTGAAGTATTCAGACCCGCTCATGTTCTGGAAGGCGATGCGGGCCTTGGGGTAGAGGACAGCCATCTGCCATGGGCTGCATGTGTCCAGGTCCTGGGGCCTGGTCGCCCTGAGGAGGCAGCATAAGGCTGGGCAGTGAGCTTGGAGCACAGCACATCCACCACACCTGACAGACCCCAGGACTCACCAAGCAATGTTGAGCTGCATGAAGTCCCGCTGCTCAGGGCTGAGGAGGCACAGATAGGTAGCAGGGAAGGTGTCCAGGGTGTCCAGTGTGGCCTTGTCCAGCTGGCCCCCTCCCCCTACATGGCGGGCAATGAGGGCGGCCACCTGCGGGAGGAGGCCACTCAGTGGCGTGGAGCAGGAAGAGACATATCCCCTGGGGCCTGCACAACCTCACACCCTGTGCAACCTCCAGGCCTGTACCACCTCACACTCTGTGCCCCCCAGGCCTGCCCAACCTCAAACCCTGTGCCTTCCCCTCCCCACCTCCGCAGCCAGTCACCTGAGCATCCATCCCATGCCCTTTGCTGACTTTGAGCAGAGATTGCACGGTCTCCAGGGAAGTCACATTCCACTTGTGGATGTCCTCGGGGGTCACCCAAAGGACGAAGTACCCCAGGTGCTGGATCAGGGACTCAGGGTACCCCTGTGGGTAGAACTTCCGGGGGAAGGGACTGTGAGGGCTGCCGCCACTCCCTGGGCAGCTGGGAAAACTGTGCTACAGCAGGCAGGCGGGAGTCCTGGACTACCTCGTCCAATTTGCGCTTGAAAATCTGCAGCTGCTGGTAGGTGAAGGGCACCAGGTTCACCTGGTCCATCTGAGCGGCCAGCAGGGCTCCGTCCACACAAGCCTCCAGCTCCCACTCCTCGTAGAAGACAAGGTTTTTGTCCAAAACTTGGGCCTTCCGCCCCAGGGGGCAGACCTTCTCTGCAGGGGCAGGCAGTGGGCTGGGGGCTGGACATCTCCTGTCAACCTCCTCTTCCTTCTGCACCCACGCTGAGACCCTGGGCACCACATGACTCTCCAGACCTCAGTTTACTCATCAGCAAAATGGAGCAATTTTGTTCACTCTCCTGCATTGTCATGATTGAATGAGTTGAGTGGCTAGGAAGGGCTACAGGTGTGGACAGGTGAGACCTAACAATGCTAGCTCCCCATCCCAGTCTCGCAACGCAGCTGGGCACCGTGCTCACTCTCTGTGCACCGCTGGGCCCTCAGAAGGATGACGGTCACCTCAGGCCGCTGCCAGGACAGGTCCCGTTGCAGCCATGGGGTCACGACACCCTGAGAACAGAGCAGTGTCCTGGCTTCCAAGGACCCCCACCCAGGGCCAGAAAACCCTCCCCTGATTCCCCAGAGGGGCCTTACCAGTTCCGTATCTGCAGCCTGGGCCCTGGAAGGTAGCACCCACCCTGCAGGGGAAGGGACACCAGGCTCGAGGGGATGGCAGGGGCTCCACCCAGGGTAGGAAGGAGGCAAAGCCGGCCCCTTCCAGCCCCGTGCACACTCCATGGGTGTGGAAGCAGAGGGTTAGGCCCCTCACCCTATGGTGTCACGGCCCATGACACCGAACCAGGGAGCACAGGCCTCCCGCATCCTCCTCCTGGGGCCCCTCTGCTCAGGGCAGGCAGAAACCTGTCCCATGGGCACCCTCAGTTTGGCCCCAACCACCCCATCACCACCCTGCCTCTGCCTCCAACCCCACAGGGCACTGTGGTGCAGTAGGGGTGCCAGACACAGTCACCTCGGGGGACAGAGACAAGGCTAACAGCCTGCCTGGGACTCAAGGCACCTGCCGAGCTTCAGGACACTTCTCTGGAATCAGGGGCACCTGCCCAGGACTCGGGACACCTGCCCGGGAAGGGGCTGGGGGGCACTGCCCACAGCCGGAGAGGACGTGTTGAGCAGGTAGAGCCTTTCCTAAGGCCCCGAACCCCTGAGGACCCTCGGCTGCCCTCTGTGCTCTCTGCACACCAGCGTTTTGCGGCAACCCGCCCTCACGACTCACAGAGGCAGAGAAGAAGCAAGAGGCTGCCGTGGGTGGGAGTCCCACAGGACCCCAGGCGGGGTGGAGCAGTCTGCAAGGCCACAGTCTGTGGAGGACAGCCACTCTGATGTCCCCCCTGCTTCCCCACCCCCACCATGTCCCCCGACCCATGACTGCCCCAGGCCAGTGAGGGGCCTTGGGGGGCTGCAGCGGCCTCAGGCCCCAGAGGCCTCCCGGGTGGAACCTTCACAGGCCTCCACAGCAGTGTCTGTGCTGCCGCTGGCCCTTCTCTCAGAACCAACCAGCAAGCCTGCTCCGCCCCCTCCGGGAAACTGGCCCCTCAGCCCTCAGACTCAGGTCTGAGTCAGCCTGGCCCCCAGCTGTGAGGGCCCCAGCGGGCAGCCAACAGCTGGCGCCTGTCTTCTCTCCCTGCAGGGCAGGGCAGTGCAGGACAGGGCAGGAGAGTTTCATTCGAGGAGGCAGGACCGCCTCTGGCTCTGGCTGGCCTGTTTCCCCCACTCAAAACAGGGGAGATGAGCAGTTCTGGTCTGGGCGTCAGGCTGAGCGACCCCTCACCCTGCAGCGTGGCCACCCTCCCCTCCCACCCACAGCCGCAGGTGCTGGGCTTTATGCAAACCCAGGGCCCTGCGCAAACCCAGGGCCCTGCCAGGTGGACAAGGCCGGCAAGGTCCACCAGCCCACTGCTTTCCCTTCTGAGGTCGCTCCCAAAGCAGAGGCCTGGGCAGTACCAGAGGGAGTTCCCTGGTAGCCTAGCAGTTAGGACTGCGGGCTCTCACTACCATGGCCCAGGTTCAATCCCTGGTCAGGGAACTGAGATCCCATATGCCATGTGGCATGGCCAAAAATAAACAACAACAAAGGGTGATACCCCTTCCCACCTGCCAGCCCTTAGGGTGGGGCAGTGGGTGGGCATTCTGGGAAGACCCCCGTGTGCTCTCTGAAGTGGGGTTTGGGGCCTGTGGACCAGTGTGGGTGGCAGGTGGGTGGGGAGCCGCTCCCCACAGAATATTGTCCCCGAGTAGATAGGGGCCTGCAGGAGACCAAACTGCCTTCCACACCTGCCCCTCCCAGGGAGGCCTGGAGCCAGAGGCCACCTAGGGCTGGTGGAATGGAACCATCCCCTCCCCCAAACCTCCACCCAGGCCTGTGTCGGCCCCACCCCTGGCTCAGAAATTGGTGTGTGGGGGGGAGGGCACAGAAATTGGCGGTGGGTGGGTGGGGTGGCACGCTTATGCTTCAGCAACCCCTTTCAGCAGGGCAAAGAGCCCAGCCTGCGGGGAGTGTCCTGGAGAGCTCCCCTCCCCTACCAGGCCCCCAGAACAGAAAAGAGGCGGTTGAGTGGGGCTCTGCCCCCGGGGTGGGTAAGGCCAGGCAGGAACTATGCCTCCCCCTGCCGTCTCCCCTCAGCCCCCACCCCAGCCCCGTGTAACCAGGGACCCCTTGCACCCCAGGTAGGGGCTCCCTCAGAACCCCTGCAGCCCACCGTGGGCCCTAGAATCTGCAACCTTCACACCTCCTACCCCCAGATAGGCCGGGTTGGGGCCACAGAGGCACCTCAGCTGTCTTAGGGCTGCAGCTTCCAGAGTGGCCCAAGTGTGACCTGCCAGAGTCACGTCTGTTTCAGGCAGTCCAGGGCACGCATATTTGTGTGACAAGGAAACAGTCCCCTCACCATGCTCTGTCTCCCTGTACAAGGCTGCTCGGATGCTTCCCTTTCTGGTACCTGGGATGGCCCCATCTCCAACCCTGAGTCCTTCAAGACCAATGTCCACCTGATCATCTGTCACTCATTAACCACCTGCACACTCCCTGGGTGCCTACTGCATGCTGGGCCCTGCAGAGATGCTGGCACATGCTGGAGCAGGTGATTCGAGCCCTGCCCAGGACCTGGGGGTGGGCCTACCTGCTAGCATGTGAGGTCTGGGGTCTGAGTGGACCACAAGCTCATCAGAGTGGCATGTGAGGTAGAGGCAGCCGTGTCAGTGACAGAGGAATGCCCAGCTCCAACCCTGAGCCTAAGAACCATGAGCTCACAGCCTTCAGCAGGTGTGCAGCTGCAGGACACTGGATGAAGCTCTCTCCTGCCCCACCTGTCTCACCCACCCCAGCCCAACTTCGGTCCCCAAGGTCTGGCCCTCAAGTGGTGGCAAATGAAGTCAGACCACATTCCCTGCCAGCCTCAGGCCTGTCTGGTGAGAGCGGGAAGGGGCACGGATCACAGGTTTAGGGTCTTCGATGCAGGGTCATTTAGTCTTCCCCAAGCACAGAGATGCTGTGTGGCTAGCCTGGGGTCACACAGCATGTCAGGAGCAGCTGGGGCAAGGGTAAAGCTGACCGAGGGCACAGCCCTCTGAGGCCAGGGGAGCTTGTCCTCGCTGCTCCCCAAGTGCAGTGAGGACTAGGGTGGAGGAATCCATATGGTGGGCAGGGGTGGGGGCTGCCCTACCTCCCCCAGCCTGCTTGTTTGGGTCCCAGTACCAGCCTCCACCTAATCCCTGCTCCCACCCAGAGCTGCTTGGCTGGAGGTACTGAAGGAGGTGTCCCCTCCCTCACCTCCCCCAGCATGCCCTCCATCATGACCCCACCCCACACAGATGAGGCCAAGGTTCTGCGCGTCTTCTGATTCGGTTTCCTCAACTGGGAAGCAGGAGGGCAAGAGGTGGGAGCCTCTGGGGTCTGTCAAGGGAAACAACCAAGGCTCAGGCCAGCAGAACTCAGGCCATAGGAATGCGTGGGTGGAGACCTGGGGAGGGGCTTCAGGAGGTGGGGCGGGGGGTGGGGGGGAGCCACCTCTGCCTCTCCCTCCCTGGGCAGTCATGGGAGCTCCGAGCGGGCTGACCGTCAGGTACCAGGCATGTGTGTGGAGCCAAGGCCTCACCTCGTGGGGTCTTACTCTCCCTTCTCAGGTGGTACAACAGAGGTTCAGTGCGGAAGAGAGGCCACAATTGCAGGGCAAGGCAAGGGCGTGGTCCCCGTCTCCACCCACCCAGGGCTGGTGCCCTGAGGGTCTCCACCCCAGTCAGCAGGATGTGACTCCCTGACTCGTTCCAGGCTCCGGTTGGCATGGTGGTGCAGTGGTCAGGTGGGGGGCTGCGGGAGTTCACCTGCCCAGGCACTGGCCGTCTCCCAGATGGGAGGTGGAGGCTACCTTTGTGCTGGCCAGATGCCAGTGTCCGCATGCGGATCCTGGCACCACAGCCTTTGTGTGTGCCCCTGGAGCCAGAGTCCCTGGTGGCTCCCTAGATCCCCCCACCCCGCCCCCCTGCCCTTCTATACTTTTGTGAATAGGAATTCCCTGTGTGGAATCTGTCCGGTCTCTGACCTCTCTCCGTGGGCTGGGTTTTCTATTATGTACAGTTGAGCCAAATGCTAATTAGTACAGAATTCAGGAAGGCTGCCAGGTACAAGAACCAACTCACAGAAAGAGTAAGTGCCTTTAAAAAAAAAAAAACGTCCTGTCCATAGATAACAACTGAAAAATTCTGGACAAAATATTTAAAAAAACAGTTCCCTGAGAGCTCTGGGGAGTGAAGGAAAAAAGCCAGATTTTGGACGGGAATTGATACTTGATGGAAGATGCCAGCGTGGATTTCCCTTTGTGGGTGTGGCTTTGTGGTGTGCGGTCCTCAGACACCAGCAGAAATCCCACCATCTTTCTGGCCGAAAGAGCCAAAGGAAGGAGCCCAGAATAACCAGACAGCAGAGAGCGTGTGGAGAACTCTGAAAAGGAGAGAGCCAGAGGAGGGGGCCCCAAATTCTGTGTACCAACTCTACCCACGCCTCTTGCCGACCCCTGAATCATGTGTGTGCAAGGCAGACAGCTCGAATGACAAACTGGCCGAGACTGAGCTCTGCACTCTTTGGGAGTGGCAGAGGTCACAGTTCAAGTATGACCAAGTTCATTGCCTGCCCAAACAGAAGCAGCAACAGTCTTTGTAGGAATATAACAGAATGCAGTGTCTTCACAACAAAACAGTCACAATGTTCATGATGAAATCAAAAACTGCTCGGCACAGGGAAAGCTGGGAGACTGTGACCCATTCTCCAGGGAAAAGAATCTGCTGAGGCCACGGTAAGACAGTATTAGAATTACCAGACAATGAGGTCATGGAAAAATGGGTTCTCATGAATGCAGAAGTAGGAAAAAAACCAAATAGGAAATTTTAGAAATGAAAAATACAAAATCTGGAATTTAAAAATTCACTAGATGGCCTGGACACACCTGCCAGGTGTGTCCCGGATCAATCAGGATCAATCACTTCCAACTGAGGTTTAGGTGGGGCCCCCCAATTGCACAGTTAAATGAATTTTGAGATGTGGATGGAAGGTTCCTCTGTGCCCACTTGCAGGAACTGCAGTTTGAGCCCAAAAGACACAGAGGCTGCAATGTGGGTGGGAATGGACAGTTCGCGTCCTGTTTTAACTTTGATGGCACAGGAGGCGTATGAAACACGTTACTTTTGTTGCTAAAATGATGGTCACGCAGTACGTGTTTTGCGTGTAAGCTCTGTTTTCCCTTGTAATTTTAGGTTGCCTTCGTTAAGAAACACTATCAGGGGACTTCCCTGGTGGTACAGTGGCTAAGAATCTGCCTGCCAATGAAGGGCACACAGGTTTGATCCCTGGTCCGGGAAGATCCCACGTGCCGCGGAGCAGCTAAACTTGTGCGCCACAACTACTGAGCCTGCACGCCTACAGCCCGTGCTCCACAACAAGAGAAGCCACCGCAATGAGAAGCCTGTGCACCACAACGAAGAATAGCCCCCGCTCGCCGCAACTAGAGAAAGCCATGCACAGCAACGAAGACCCAACACAGCCAAATAAATAAATAAATTTATTTTAAAAAAAGGAACACTATCAGGTCAGAAGCAAAAGCTAAATTCCAAAGCCATTTGGTGTTCGATAATTCAGGTTAAAGGAACAACGTTGAATTGTACGCTTTAAGTGGGTAAGTTGCATGGTGTGGGAATTCTTTCTCAGGAAAGCTGTTTTTAAAAGACAGGCCAAAGATCTGAACAGACAGTTCATAAAAGAAGACGTGTGAATGGCCGATAAGCACATGAAAAGATGCCCAACTCACTAGGGAGATGCAGATCAAACCCCCCACAAGACACACCCGCCAGAACGAGGACACTTAAAGGGTCTGACAAGGAAAGTGTGTCTTGGGCGCGGGGCAGTGGGACTCACACCTGGTGGTGGGAGCACAAGGTAGTGCGGGAATTTCTGCTGGGCATTTTTTGTTTTTGTTTGGCCATGCCATGCAGCTTGTGGGGTCTTAGTCCCCCGACCAGGGGTCGAACAAAGGCCCCTGGCAATGGAAGCACAGAGTCCTAACCACTGGACTGCCAGGGAAGTCCCTTGACTAAGTTATTTATTAAAGCCATCTCCTGCCATAAGTAAAGCGACAGAAGATCAGTATAATGGTCATCACTGGATACAAGAAGGTGAGCTTAAGGTCCCATACACTTTTCTGGTCCATGCGTACAGAGTAATGGTCCAAACCAGTGCTGTGGTCCCCACTGGGTAGTGGTCCAGGTTCTCTTTATTCATCTTCATGGCCAGTTGGAAGTGAATTCACATGAGGATTATGGAATAGGGTATGGTTACCATCTCCCCAGGGAAAGGGCTTAGACCTGATGCGGAGATGCGGGTAGATGATGAACTCAGGTCTCTCCTCCTCTCCGTGGTGCTTCAGGAAGACGTTCAGCGTGCTCACTCCCACCCCGGGAAGCACCACAAAGTAGGTGAGGCCTTCCACATGCGAGCTGAGCCCTCCTCACCATGGCACCACTAGACACAGGCTGCTCCAGCTGCAGCCGGGAACGAACCTCGCAGCCCAGAAACCCAGGATCCAGCTGCTGCCACCATTTTCCACCTGGATCCGGCATTTTCTAAAGAAGTTAGGTATACTCCTAACCATACAACTTAGCCATTCCCCTCCTAAGTAATCCCTCCAGAGAAATAAACCTGGATGTGCACACAAAGTCTCGTACGTGAATATTCATAGCAACTCTATTCACAATAGCCAAAAATGGGGAAAAACAAATTTCCATCAGTAGACCAATGGACAAACGAAATATGGTATTATTCATATGCTGACCTACTGGTCAGCAATAAGAGGGAACAGACTACTCATACTTGGGGGGAAAAGGATGAACTTCAACATCATTATGCTGAGTGAAAAGGGGCAGATATCCAAGGGTACATAATGTATGATTCTGTTTCTATAAAAATGTTAAATTGCAAACGAATCCCTCATGACAGAAAGCACATCACTGGTTGCCGGGGCCAGGCAGCTTCACTAAAACTCAGGATTCCTGTTCTCAGGAGTAACAGTGAGGAATCTTTTGAGGCTGATGGAAATGTTCTGTCTTGACTGGGGTGGAGATTTCACGGATGTGTGTAACCACCAAAGCTCTTTGGACTGTACCCTTTAAATGGATGCCTTTATTGTGCATAAACTGTACCACAATAAGATTGATTTAAAAATCAATAGCAAGGGCTTCCCTGGTGGCGCAGTGGTTGAGAGTCTGCCTGCCGATGCAGGGGACACGGGTTCGTGCCCCGGTCCGGGAAGATCCCACATGCCACGGAGCGGCTGGGCCCGTGAGCCATGGCCGCTGAGGCTGCGCGTCCGGAGCCTGTGCTCCACAACGGAAGAGGCCACAACAGTGAGAGGCCCGCATACCGCAAAAAAAACAAAAACAAAAACAAAGAATCCGCCTGCCAATGTAGGGGACACGGGTTCGAGCCCTGGTCCGGGAAGGTCCCATGCCGTGGAGCAACTAAGCCTGTGTGCCACAACTACTGAGCCCGCGTGCCACAACTAGAAGCCACCGCTGTGAGAAGCCCGCACACCGTGCAACAACAAAGACCCAATGCAACCAAAAATAAAAAAGTAAAAAAAAAAAATCAATAGCAGGGACTTCCCTGGTGGTGCAGTGGTTAAGAATCCACCTGCCAATTCAGGAGACATGGGTTTGAGCCCTGGTCCAGGAAGATCCCACATGCCGCAGAGCAACTAAGCCCGTGTGCCACAACTACTGAGTCCGTGCTCTAGAGCCCGAGAGCCACAACTACTGAAGCCCGCGCACCTAGAGCCTGTGCTCTGCAACAAGAGAAGCCACCCCAATGAGAAACCCGCACACCGCAACGAAGAGTAGCCCCCGCTCGCCACAACTAGAGAAAGCCCGCAGGCAGCAATGAAAACCCAAAGCAGCCATAAACAAATAAAATTATTAAATAAATAAATAAAGTGTGCGATTCAATGGTTTTTAACATATTACATTATTAATTTTAAAACTGTGTTAAAATATATACAACAAAATTGGGCATTGTAACCATTTTTAAGTGTACAATTCGGTGGCGAGAGTTACATTCACAATGTTGTGCAATCATCACCACTATCTATTTTCAAAACTTTTTCATCATCCCAAACTGAAACTCCTTCCCAAGGCCTTGGTAACTCTAATCTACTTCCTGTCTCTATGGGCCTGCCTGTTCTGCACATTTCACATAAGTGGAATCACACAGTAGTGGCATATGTGTCTGGCTCTCTCACTAGACACAGTGTTTTCAGGGTTCGTCTACATTACAGTGTGTCAGTGCTTCATCCTTCTATAGCTGAATGATAGTCCATGATGTGGATGGACCACATTCCTTTATCCGCATCTGCCGATGGTCATTTGGGCTGTTTCCATCTTTTGACTAGCTCCCACCTTTGCTCCACTGGTTCTGGGGGAGAGAGATGGAAACCGCCCTGCATATCTACACGCAAACTGTCCCCCTCCAGCATTAGAAGAGCCCTCCTTTGTCCCCCAGCCTCAGCCAGAGCCCCCTATGCTACAAACCCTCTCCATCACCCCAGCCTAACTGACCCTCATCCTGGCCTGATCCCAACAGCACTTATTATCCTCACACATTTTTTGTAAACGTTCTCTGGGGCACTGCAGTGAAACTAAGTTTATTTTGTATTTGTCTGGTTCTAATAATGAGTGAGAATGTTGAGATTTCAGGCATCGTAACCCAGACTTTAGTCAGATATTGCCAGGATGGCGGGTGCTGGGGCCTGGAAGCCCACCAGGTACAGCCGCTGGTGAAAGCCCCTCTCACTGCTGAGAAGGAAGTTCCCATCCTGAGAGCCAAGAGGAGAGGCAGCAGGTGCTGGAGGAGGCAGCACCAACACCTGGGCCTCAGGCACCTGGACGTCACAGTTAACCCGCAGGTAGGTGAGGAATCACCCGGTAGAGCCCACATCAGAACAAGAACCCCAGGAAGAGCACAGGCTGGGATGGGCCCCCAGCATGTGAGATCATGCCGTGCCCTCGGGGTATTCTGGGGCTGATCCTGCCAAAGCACCTTCAGGGCTGGGCCCACGTGGGTCCCGGGGATGTGCCAGACTCCATCACTGGCGTTTTCTGGAAATCCCCATAAAAAGTGGTCATTACCTGTACATGACGACTCAAGAACTGAGTCCAGCCAGCAGCGGTTCTGTCTCAGGTAGTAAAATCTCACAGGGAAATGGAGTTTTCTCAGGCTGGTCTTTGAAATAACCGCGGACTCTCTCCGAGAACCCCAGGGCTCTGCACTAAGCCGCAGCCTCGGGAGGAACGGCTCCCCATCCCCGTCACTCTCATTTTCTTCTCTTTTCAACAGACACTGGGCGTCTCTGCGTACCCGGCGCCCTTCTGGACTCTTGGGCTGCGTCCGGAGCCAAGTAAAGCAAGTCGGCTGCACCTCTCTCGGGGCGGAGACGGCGGGGGCCGCACACCTGGCTGGCAGGTGAGCCCGGGACCGCGAGCGAGGCGCCCTCGCCTCCCCGCCGCCCCGCCGCCCCTCTGCCTCCCGGCCGGCGCCCAGGCAGGGTGGAGAGTGAGAGGTGCCCGGGGCCGCCAGGAGGGGGCGCGCGCCTCCCAGACACCCGGCTGCTTAGCCAGTCGCGCAGGAGCCATGCGGACGCTTTCCGGCAGCGTGGCGGAACCGCTTAGCCCTTTCGTGGCATTTGGCTACACCTGCGCTCGGCAGTGTGGCACCATGGCGTCGCTCTTCAGCGGGGCCTTGCAGCTGACGGACCTGGACGACTTCATCGCGCCGTCTCAGGTGGGCGGGCCGGGCGGCGGCCGTGCGCGGGGAGCCCCGTCCGCCGCAGTGTCTCCACTGAGAGAGGGGCTCAGAAGCGGGGCTGCTGGGTCGCACAGCCCCGTAGCTTCCGCGTCCCCTTCCCGGGCGGCCACTGCAGCCGGACTCACCTAGCTTGGGGCCCGGGAGACCCTGCCGAGCTTCCCTGGCCAATTCCTTGTGTGTGAACAGAGTGGGACGGCCCCACCCCGCTGCGAGGGCTTGGGAGGTGCTCCGCTGGAGTCACCGCGGTGGTCGTCGTATGTGTCGCCCCCGGGGGGGAAGACAGAGCTTGCCCCCAAAGGGGACAGGACAGCTGCACTTGAGAGCCGGCCGCCCTTATCTGGTGTTCCCGCTTATCAGTTGCCACCAGCCGTGCAGGACCAGGGCTCGGAGGGCCATAGCTAAGCCGTCCAAGGAGAAGGAACGGGTGGGGCTGGTCCCGGCACAGCGGCAGGAGGAGCTCGGACAGGCCTCCCACCAAGGCTTTCTGGGGCTAGTTCCCTTTGGGAATGCGATGGCCAGTGAGGTGCTCCTGTTGAGAGAGACCGCGAGAACTCCAGGAGTTGGGCAAAGAAAGGAACTTTCTTCCAGGAACTGGGCGGGGCCAAGCGTCCTAGCGACCCCTTGGCTTCTTCCCAGCAGTCAATGAAAAACTGGCCACGGTGCCCCGCCAGACGTTTACGCTGAGGAAGGTGAGGGTGGGGGTTGGTGCTGTCTGCAGACAGGTTAGCTTGCAGGCCCAGTCAGCACCGCCTCCATCTTGACTGTGACCTGCAGAGCGACTCTTGGTCGGACAGAGTGTCTGACCAGGTGTGAGTGAGTAGGGGAAGTAGTGACAAGATCCATAGCGCTAAGAGTGCTTCTGCTGCAGGAAGACCGGAATCAGGGTACAGTTTTCGTCCCAGGTGGTGGTGTGGCCATCAGGCTGCCCCTCTTCTTCCGCCTTTGTGCACTCAGGTGCCTGTTGGGGTTTCTTACTGGTATAGGATTGCATCAAGCCCGTGAGGGTGGATAAGAGGCCGGGAAGTGGCGTGGCCAAGATCCACGTCGAAGATGACGGGAGTTACTTCCAAGTCAGTCAGGTAAGTGCCAGCTTGGTTGGCCTGAAGCACGTTTCACTGCTCCGTCGAGTGACAAATGCAGGGGCCACAAGACCTTGCACCTCTCACCAGTCCTTTCTCAGATATGTTCTGCAGAGAGCTCTTTGCAGATATGGCAGTTCTCGCATCCCCTCTCTCTCTCCTTCTCTCTCTGAGTTGTAATTGTGTAAGATTTTCTAGTCCAGACCACTTGTTCTTAGGGAACACCTACTTCCTGTGTAATTTGGCAATGATGAGATCCTAATCCAATGGCGTTAAAATTTACCCCGACTGTTTGCCATTTGGACTCTCAAGAACATCTGTGCTGTCCCAGGGACCGCAGGCACCACCAGGCACGCTGGCCCGGGGATCCTGCCCAAGCAGGGGAGGAGCCACAGGATGGTTCACGGTAGGGCCAGACAACAGGATCCAGAGTTCACAGGGAGAGAGCCACTGTTCACTCAGCCCAGGAGGGTAACGCAGCAGCACACCACGGGTCCCGCCCAAGCCTAGCACAGCACAGAAGACTGGGTCCTTTTTAGGGACCAAGTGGGCGCTGCTCCAGAGCAGCAGTGGTTGATCTGGAGGGAAGTCGGAAGCACATCAGCCCCCTGCTCAGCACAGCATCACAGCCTGGCCTTGAGACCAGTCCAACCAGGGAAAATGCACTGAGCTCAAATTGTGGCTTT